GTGGCCTACAATGCTTGAGTGCTTGCATCTCCTCCTTAGCTTGTCACATTCTAGGCATGGAAAACAACACTGGCAATCCAAAGGAAGCCATTTCTGGAGATCCTATGGTACACTGTGATGCAGTGAGTAATGTATTCAATCACTCCTTCTACTCTACACTTACTTGGTGAATGGTGGATGTCTCTTTACAATTCATTGTGGAGGCACATTGAGGCCAGGCAACGTCTTGTTGCTATCAGAAACAGATCTGCTGAATTGGATGCAGTTGTTCTAGATTTTGTGGTGGGTAGGCATAGGACAAGGTCCTCAAGCTAATAAGGGGAGGATCCTCCAAAATGTCCTTGGGGTGCTGCACTGTGGCATCGACTCTATTTCAGGGGGCTGCGGCTGGCTGGGACCACCACAGACTGCACCAAGGACATAGAACATGTAGCACCTCTGTCTTTTCAGGATTCAGCTTCAATTTACTTGCACACATCCAGTGGATTTATGTAATGTAACAACCTTTTCATATATTGTGCTGAATTGTAAGACATTTCTGGGTGCTTGTTAAATTATTGTGTGCTTTCTGATGCTTTCTGATATGTAATATATGCAATTCATCTAATAAATATATTAATCTTATTTTAAAACTTGTACTAATATCTCAAACTACACTGTAATAAACTGTATGATACTGTAGTGGTCATAGTAAATTAAGTAAACAGCTGATATTCAAACTCCAATAGAACATAACAGACATGCAAAAGAAAAATCTAAATCATTGAGTCCCTCCCCCACAATGGGCATATCAAGTATTTAATGTGATACTACAATTGATCCTAGTCTGTAGGCTGAAAACTACTAATGTGATACAACAAAGGAACCTATAATAAGTGAACATTTTTATACAAGTCCTGAAATCCAGAACGGGGGAATTACCTGCCATTCTGGCATATAATTTTGAAGAATGCCTGAGCCATTAACCCAGTTGCATGCCTAACAATAAGCACTAATTTATGCAAGACATAACAGCAGCATCTCTCAACAATCCAAAATTGAAAGAGCGGCGGACCATTTTTGGAGACATGCAATGAAACGCATGTTGTAATATGTATAAATGACATGAATGTAACTATTTTCAGCTGAGGTAATAATGTTCTTACATTCGCAGTTAGCAACCCCATCTATGAAATAAGGTGAAAACACTTTCATCTTATTTATGGTTTAATTATTTAGGTATATTTAGACTATTATCTGATTATATATATTTCACCATTATGCCATCTAGAATAAAACAATTTATTTAGTATACAAGAATAAATTATAAAGCTCTATTAGGTTTTGGCCTTGCCTTCTCCCAAGCCTCAGAATTGGTTTACATAGGCCTCAAGATATTGCCGCACCCCGCCTATTATATTAAAACTGCAATTTCTTTCACCTGATTAATCCATTCCCATCCAGCAAAAGCCAACTCTAACCAAAGGGTATCACTACTCAGGATCATAAACTGTACAAGCTGTCTAGAAGGAGGGAACTCCTTCATTTTATTGAGATAGACCCAGTGAACGTCTCTCATGGTTCAAGTTTGACACACACACAAACAAAAAGTAAGCACAAGTCAGTTACTTCAATGGGAAAGGAGAAGCCCTATCCCAAACACCTGGAATCTAGTGTCTTTGAATAGATAATGTAAGGCAAATGAGGTGTAAAGTGTTCCAAGACATTCACCTCTTTTAGGATAGGATCCCCTACATTTTGCTTCTAAAGTTTCTAAAGGGTCAATATAGAAAAGCTATATTGGTTCAGCCTCAAACTCTGTTAGTATCTCATCAGATTCTGAAATTGTCAGAGTAATTTGTTCAGGAGGTCTAGTGGCCCACCAATGCATTAGACTTGGAGTCTGAACTGGTATTCCCTGAATATATCCCTGAAGAAATCGGAAGAGGCTAATGAGCTATCAGAGTGCTGAACCTTGTGACAGGGGGAAGAAAGAAGCAGAAGGAGAAGGAGAAGGAGAAGGAGAGAGAAAGACCTTAAGCAGTCCAAATGCAGTTCTCCAATGAGGTCTCCTGTGGAGAAAGCAGAGAGAACATAAACGGAAGCAAATAAATTGCACCACAGTCTGAGGGTTCAAGCTGGAGAGCCACCATTTAATTTGATCTGGGACAACGTTTTCAGCACAGACTTTTTTTTGGGGGGGGGTGTTGGAACCCAAAAGCACATTCAATGACTGGATTAATTTTGGGAGAGGGGACTCTTAACAATTTTTGGGTGGGGGTGGTTTTAGCTTTAAGGAGGGTGGCTTTATCTTCATTTTCCTGCCACTACAGCATTCTCTTTGTAATTTTGGACAGAATGCTCCTTGGGATGGTAACTGGCAGAGTCAACATATTTTTTAAAAAATGAAAAAAGAGGTGAGGAAGCAAGCCATGAGCTGTCTGGTAAGCTCCCACCACAAAAATATGAAACATTTTGCCTCAAGCAACGCTTGTGGCCTCCATTTTGGGGTTCACTCAAAATCCTCTCGGATTGGATGCATCCTACAATGGCCCCAAAGATCTCAAGACCTACTTCAAGCATGTTATACCTGTTTGGAGGGGATTTACCTTCATGCAAAATTTCTCAGATGCTTTGCTTGAGTAGGAATTTCTACATTTATCTTTGCTTTAGGCATAATTCCGACACAACTCTAATAGAGAAAACCAACTGTACTTATGAAGCAGTAGAGGAATTGCTAGTCAATCTCGCAGTCCACAGTGCAACTGAGCCAGAGTTCCTAACTGAAAAAAGCTATGAGCATCCAGAAACAAAATATTGTAACATGGCTACCACCCTGATTAGGACCTAGAACAAATGTAAAGTGATAGCCAAGCCTGACAAGCACAACTTTTGAGCATTCTTAGTAGCTACTGATTTGAATACAAGTATACAGACATAAATTCTAAGAAAAGTTCTACTTCGCACTATGCAAAATTAACTTGAGGATTTGCTGTCCCAAGAGGTGATGACAACTAGTTCAGATGGCTTTAAAGGGGGCTAGACCAATTCATAGAGCATAGGCTCATCAGTGCCTATTAGTTGTAATAGCTAAATGGAGGAGGGCTACTGGCTTCATGCCCTGTCAATGGCATCTGCTCAGCCACCAGTGGCTAGATGTGAAATTAGATGGACTTTTGGTCAGATCCAGCAGGGCCCTTCTTAGGTTCTTAACATCTGTTTAAAAATAAAAGTATGTGTCTTCCCAAACTACAAAGCAATACGGACTTTGTTCTTACACAGTTTCAAAGACCTGACACTGCTTTTTTGGGAATCATAGAGAAAAACAGAATAATATGCCCAAGATGGATAGTGTATTTCTCTTAGGAATAAAGATGGGCTGTAGCAGAACACCTTTGCAAGAAAGATTGTCTTTTAACAAAATATTGCATGAAACACCAGTTTTTACACACTCTATATGCATCTGCATGGCAGGTGGTGCACTGGGATAGACATATTGGACAGGAAATGAGGATAAGATAAAATTCATTGAGTAAATGGCTTAGAAGCTTCAAAGCATACCTCTTCCTCAAGTGTTCTGTCTATATAACAAGTCTAAAAATAAAGAATACCAGGACTACATTATTCAAGGAAGAAACGATAGTATCTGCCTTCTGCAGCTTACATTAAAATGAGGACCTAAAGCAAAATTTACATTTGCAGTGTCACATCACTGAAAAAAATTAAGCTTTCTGGTTCTTTAGAAACTCTTCTTTTTAGCTATATTTTACTAGGACTGAGCTGAATTTTTATCAGTTTCAAATTTTGCATTTTTGAAATGATTTATAAGGGAGAAATGTGGTGCAATCTACAGTGGTGCCTTGCAAGACGAAATTAATTCGTTCCGCGAGTTTTTTCGTCTTGCAGTTTTTTTCGTCTTCCGAAGCACGGTGTCGGGAAAGTTTTGGAAAAGCTTCAAAAATCACCAAAGTCTTTAAAAACCTCAAAAAAGGCTACCACACCGCGTTCTATGAGTTGCTCCTCGAAGTCAAGTCGCAACTGTATTAACGGTGTTAAGAAAAAGGAAACAAACTTGGAAGACGTTTCCGTCTTGCGAAGCAAGCCCATAGGGAAAATCGTCTTGCGAAGCAGCTCAAAAAACAAAAAACCCTTTCGTCTAGCGAGTTTTTTGTCTTGCAAGGCATTCGTCTTGCGAGGTACCACTGTACTCAGAAGGAAGTCACATTGAGTTCAATGATACTTAATCCTGGGTAAGAGCATGTGCAGCCCAAAAAGATGAATTCAAACTGGGATAAATAAAGAACAGTAAAGATTATGATAGTAATAAAAATAATGTCTAAAAAGGAAGATGCATTCACTGATCCTATTTATTTAGTCTCATGAGCAGGGGAAAAAGCTGAATAAATACATAAAGTTTCCATAAAACTACGAGAATGAAAACAAATTGCTACAAACTGTTCATTCAGAAAAGTAGGACAGGTATCATAGGACAGACAATGGACTCCCAAATTTGTAGGTTTACTATTCTAGAAAGTCTAATTAAAACAGCAAAGAACCCTGCTGGTTTCAAAAGAGATTTTGATCTTTTTAATGTTATTTCTAAAGCCTGAGTTACGGTCTGTAATGGCCAGGGGAGGTTACTGCTATGTACATCATGGGACACTATGCTGGCAAAGTTCAGCCTTTTAAAATCCAATTTATTACAATAGAAGTGATACAATAACCATGTGCTTAACTCAGTGAGACTTAAATATAGTTTTTGTGTTTCTTTTGTTTTTAACAATTTCCAGAGGGGTGGCCAAAATGATCTTTTGTTGTTTCTTTGTTTTTAAGTATTACAAGCTGTCTCAAGGATTATAGATGGGACAGTTAATGAATTAAGACTCACAAGAAAACAAGAAACAGTGAAAGTAGAAGCTGGAACCTCAGGTGTACTTGCACAACACACACAAATCACAGAATTGTAGAATTGGAAGGGACCACGATGATCAACTAGTCGGGCCCCCTGCGATGCAGGAAGCTTTTGCCCGACACGGGACTTGAACCCATGACCCTGAGGTTAAGAGTCTCATCCTCTACTGACTGAGATTTCCCATATATGCAGACTGTGTAAACAGGCATCAAAACTGCCGTCAATATGGACTGCAAAACAGAATCAGTGTAAGAATCTAAGAACAGGAGTGAGATAGCCGTAAGAAATGGTGCCATTACCTGCTGGTGAATCTGAGGACATGGCTTGCTAGTTACTCCTGCAGAGAATCATAAAGGTGCTGTGAACATTCTCATTGTGAGGGCTACACGTCTTATCGTCTCCCATGCTGAAACTGCCTTTACTGAACTACGAGCTGGTAACTACAGGCTACTTCATTTACAACATAACAATGACAAAGTAGGCTACCATTTGGTCTTCCTGCATTGTGAGGTCACAACCTGAGAATGTTATGCTTATCCCATGGGTAGAAGAATCTAGGGATTAAGTATGTACACATCAACAAAGCTGATGTATCACATGTATGTGTCATAAGGCTAAGAAAGTTTTTCATTCTTCCCATCTTCTTCCCCTTTAGTCTTCCTTCAGAATATTTAGTTCTTTGAATATACAGTGGTACCTCGGGTTAAGAACTTAATTCGTTCTGGAGGTCTGTTGTTAACCTGAAGCACCACTTTAGTTATGGGGCATCCTGCTGCTGCTGCGCCGCCGGAGCATGATTTCTGTTCTCATCCTGAAGCAAAGTTCTTAACCCGAAGTACTATTTCTGGGTTAGCAGAGTCTGTAACCTGAAGCGTCTGTAACTTGAAGCATCTGTAACCCGAGGTACCACTGTAACAGGGATTTCTTCCAACCTTGGTAAGATTCCAGCCTTTTCTCCTGCAACAGCTTCTGGTAAAGGGGTCTGAACTCTCTCTCCTCACAACACGTACTAAAATGGTAGGTGCAATGTTGCTCAGGGAGATGCACTGAATGCAGAAGGTCCAAAGTTCAATGCCCAGCATCTCCAGGCTGGGATAGCTCCATCTAAAACTTGGGTAAGTCACTGCCAGTCAATACTCCAGCCTTTCCTAACCTAGTATAGTCGCAACGATTTCTGGAAGGCAGCTGCCATCTTCTGTGCAGCTGTAACTGATGGGAACTGGAATTCAGCAACGTCTGAAGGGCTCAAGGTTGGAGAAGGCTGCAGTAGACAATACAGAGCAAGATAGACCAACATTTTAACTCAGGGGTCGGCAAGGTTTATCTTGCCTGGGCCACATCGGTCCCGTGGAGATCCCTCCGTGGGACGGATCGCACGTGTGTGTGAGCGCGTACACGGACGTGATTTTCAGTGCCGTGGAAGCGAGTCCCCGCACCATGCTGGTTTAGCGCAGCGCATGAGCGGCCATCTCAGTTCGGGGGCAGCTTATAGGCCTGTCAAATGACCTCCGCAGGCTGCTTCCGGCCCATGGGCCTTAGATTGCTGGCCCCTGGTTTAACTCCACGAGCAGGAGTTTCCTCTGCTCCTTACAGGTTCTAAGCTGCACTTCTACAGGGCTAAATACAAATATTGCCAACTATATTTACTACACTGATAATGATATTTACTCTGCACAGTTTGCCAGGCACTGGATTCTACAATTGATTCCACTTAGCAAAACTGCACAATAATGAGCATAAAATGTCACGATTGCACTGATGAAGGGGTTGGGGCAACTAATGGAGAGACAATAATTAAAAATTAAACAAAGCAATTATTATGCCTTTGAGCTTGAAAAACTAACATACTCCACTAATATTTTAAAAATTGGTGTAGCATTCTTGCCCTTGGGTCCAAACAAATGTGTCTACTCCACTGATTTCAGTGTAATGTTCACTTCTGAAAAAACTAGCAAAGATTAGCTAATATGTATAATTAAACTAGGTTCTCTTTCCAGTATAATCAAAAATAATTATTAAGTATCCAGTTTTGTTTTTCTTTTGCAACACAAACATCTGTTGAATCTTTTAGTATACTCAACACAAACCAAGATTAATGAGGCCTCTAGTATCAAACATTTCAAGATTTAAAACGTATGAATGGCAAAGTCTCAACTGACAAAAGTTTGAATTGCTACACTGCAACTTTGTTGAGCTGAAATACTGAAGAAACCCATCCATTCCTATTTTATATTTTAAAAACTGTGGATAGGTGACCAAATTCAAATTTACATTTTGTAACAATATGACCAAAACAGAGCAATAACCACAGAATGTATTTAGCCAAAAAATGCAGAGAATTCAAAACGCATATTCCATTCATCTCCCCAAACAAATCACAGACTGTACTTCAAATGCATTGCAGGACTATTAGGTAATCCTTCTTTGTTTAGATTCAGTAGGGTTCAGTGACAAACATTCATCTTCCTTTTCCCTGCAAGTTTTCATTCCTCAGTTAAGAACTCATTCTGTTTCAATTGCAAATATTTTTTCCTGTAAAAGTTAGTGAAACAATTGCATTAAACTTGCAATGCAAAAATTACCCTGCAATTAAGCAAACTTTTAGAAGATTTTAATCTATTTCTTCTATGTTTAGATTATAGACAGAAAAGAACATTTACATTTGTAAGATAGGTTAATGAAGTCAATTGCAAAGCTTTTGAAATGAATCAATTCCTATATTACACTTTTTTGTTTTTTAAAAAATAAGATTTAAAAAATATAACATTGTTGACATTACACTGAAAAAAGGATTTTTGCAGGGAGGGGAAAGAGATTTTACACATACACATACCACACAAGCACACCTCTCTGAAAAAAAGGGCACATTTAAAGATCTGTATGTAACTGTTTTCCGTGCCAATGTGCACATACTTTCCACTACGATTTTTATTCTTATTTAAACAGGTGAAAGCAATTAAATTGAAAATGATTGCGTAGAAAATGGCCCTGCTTGTGAAAGAGAAAATATAGACTCTATAAATACTAAAATGAAAAAGAAATAAGACGAGAGCTATCTGTTTGCTATCACCACATAGGTGACAACTACGACAAAAAAAGGACGCAGGTGGCGCTGTAGGTTAAACCACTGAGTCTCTTGGGCCTGCTGATCAGAAGGTCGGCGGTTCGAATCCCAGCGACTGAGTTAGCTCCCGTTGCTCGGTCCCTGCTCCTGCCAACCTAGCAGTTCGAAAGCACGTCAAAGTGCAAGTAGATAAATAGGTACCGCTCTGGCAGGAAGGCAAACAGCGTTTCCGTGCACTGCTCTGGTTCACCAGAAGCTGCTTAGTCATGCTGGCCACATGACCCGGAAGCTGTACGCCAGCTCCCTCGGCCAATAAAGCGAGATGAGCGCCGCAACCCCAGAATCGGTCACAACTGGACCTAATGGTCCCTTTACCTTTACCTACAACAAAAAAAACCAATCAACCAAATGCAAATAAAATACAAACTCTGGGAATAGTTAGACCAATTTTGGCATAGCATATAAATCAGGTGATCCACAATTAGTAGTTACAAATGACCAAGGATTATCCCAACAGCTGGATGCTTAGAACGGGGAGGAGTTACCAATGTTGTGATGTCACAAATTATGGAAGTTCTCTATTCTTGTTGCGCACTCACTACAGGCAGACAAGCCACCGCACATACTTAGACAAAGGTATTCAATGTGTTTGAGAGATATCCCAGGTTCAATCCCTTGTAGGACAAGTGAGCAGGTGATGAGAAAGACTTCTGCCTGGGACTCCGGAGTGACTCTGTCAATCAGAGTAGACTAGGGATCACCAACCTTCTGGGGCCTGTTAAGCACATCTGGAACATCTGGGTGTGTGATGGGTACCCTCTCCCTGGATTTGTGTCCTCACCCCAAGAAAGAAAAAGTAAAAGTGAATATGTGTACGCGCACACACACAAAATTAAAACTGATCTTTATAATTTGTTAGATTTTACATCCCCCAGAAAAATCACATTAAAGCTTAGATTGGTGGACTGCAAAGTAAAAAAAAACAAAAAACCTCGGGTCTAGATATTTCCAGCAGCTCAAAAACACCAATCCACGCTGTGTATATTAAGCAAAATTGTGTTCAAAATGAAATTGCACTGGTGAATTTTCAAAAGGGCTCCCCCCCCCAATGTAAACTTAAACTTGGAAAAAATGAGAAAATAAGAGAAACTGCACCTGATTTACCTAACCATCCTTACTCTTGAGACAATCAATATTGGTGCTGAATTACATAAAGCAGATTCCTATTAGAAAAATCAGTTTAAAATGACCACCATTTCATAAAACTAAGATCTGCGTATGTGCAGATTAAGTTGGTTGAAAGATACAAACACCTTTTGGGGTTTCTTGTCCCTAGGTTAATCTAGAATCTCTTGGTGTGCATGCCACACGTGTTATATGTGTATTTTTCCATTTTAAGTTGAAAGATGTTTACACTGTAAAACATACTAGAGGGACATTTTAATTATAACATACCCCATTATTTTTAGGGGACGCGGGTGGCGCTGTGGGTTAAACCACACAGCCTAGGACTTGCCGATCAGAAGGTCAGCGGTTCGAATCCCTGCGATGGGGTGAGCTCCCATTGCTCGGTCCCTGCTCCTGTCAACCTAGCAGTTCGAAAGCATGTCAAAGTGCAAGTAGATAAATAGGTACCGCTCCGGTGGGAAGGTAAACGGTGTTTCCGTGCGCTGCTCTGGTTCGCCAGAAGCGGCTTAGTCATGCTGGCCACATGACCCGGAAGCTGTACACCGGCTCCGTCGGCCAATAAAGCGAGATGAGCGCTGCAACCCCAGAGTCAGTCACGACTGGACCTAATGGTCAGGGGTCCCTTTACCTTACCCCATTATTTTATATTTTGCTGCAAATACGATGAAGTCACCCATTGTACCTCTCTCTATTACCTTACCATAAATGATGGATATTGTTTAAGTATAAAGGGGGAACATATGCACCACCTCGAGTCCAAACAATTTTTTCTAAGCTATTGCTCTCAGAAGGTAAGACAGCACCATATCCATGCTCATCTTTAAATGCCTCAAAAAATTTAGCGCAAGAACCTTTGGTGACACACACTATCTTTTCTCAAATGAGGTTTTTGAATCTGGGGGACTTTGAAATTTGCTCAGGGGAAATCAGA